ACATTTATTTATTTCTCACAGTTCTGGAGGCTAAGAAGTCCAGAATTGAGGTGCCAGCAAATCCAAAGTCTGGTGAGAAACTACATATGACCATCCTCCCGTTATGTCCTCACATGACTGAGCAGAGACAGGAGGAAGCAAGCTCCCTCTTCCTGTCCTGTACAAGGCACTAATCCCATTCATGGGAGCTCCCCCTTCTTGACCCAATCACCTCCCAAAGGCCCCACCTCTTAATACCATCACATGGGAGCTTAGGATTTCAATATATGAATTGGGGGAGACACAAACATTCAGCCCATATTACACATTCTATTTTTAACTTTTCGAGGAACTTCCACACTATTTTCCACAGGGACTGTCCTATTTTAGATTTTTATATTCCTACCAACAGTGCACAAAGTTCTGAATTCTCCATGTTCTTACCAACGATTATTATTTTCTGGCTTTTTGGACAGTGGCCATCCTAATGGGTATGAGGAAATATTATATTGCAATTTTAATTTGCCATTTCTCTGACGATTAATGGTGTTGAGCATCTTTTTGTATGCTTGCTGGCCATTTGCACATTCTTTGGAGATTTGTCTGTTCAAGTCCTTTGCCTATTTTTTAATTGGGTTTTTTGGTATTTTTTTGTTGTTGTTGAATTGTAGGAGTCCTTTACATATTCTGGATATTAATCCTTTATCAGATGTATGATCTGCAAATATTTTCTCCCATTCTGTAGGATGCCTTTTCACTTTTTTGATGGTTTCATTTGATGCACAGAAGTTTTAAGGCTTGGTGCGATTCCATTTGTCTATTTTTGCTTTTGTTACCTGTGCTTTTGATGTCATATCTCAGATATCTTTGTCAAATCCAATGTCATGAAATTTCCCTCTCTGTTTTCTTCTAGTTTTATAGTTTTAGGTCTTTACATTTATGTCTTTAATCTATTTTGAGTTAATTTTTGTGTGTGGTGACAAGGGTCAAGTTCATTCTTTTGCAAGTGGATATCCACTTTTCCCAGCACCATTTGTGGAAGAGACAGTCCTTCCTCTCTTCTGTGGTCTTGGCACCCTTACTGAAGACTGTTTGCCCTTGTACATAAGTGTTTCTTTCTGGGCTTTCTATTCTGACCCATTTGTCTACATATCTGTCTTTATGTCAGGACCACACTGTTTTGATTACGTAGCTCTGGGATGTTTTGAAATCAGGAAGTGTGTGACCCACGTTCCACTCTGGCCATCACCACCTTCCCAGCAATTCACAAGGCACTGTCCTCAGCTGGAAATTAGGGGGTAAAATAATCCAACAGTGATCAGATCAGCAGGATCTCCTTCTATAGCTCCTGCCTGCATTTCTGTGGTGCTGAGCTGGATCTCCACCAAGAACCCCAGCGTCTCTCTACCGTTGCAGCGGCTCCCACTCCTAGATCTAACCAGAGGGTCACCGGATGGTTTCAGGACTGACACCGGGACTTTAGGGAAACCTGCACTGCTTGAGGCCGAGAGTAGTCTCTGCCGCTCTTGGCGTCCTCTCCCTGTGGGTCCGGAGTGCACAGGATTTGAGAAGTGTGCATTAGAGCCTATGGTTTGGGGGTGTTGTTAATTCTCTGTTTCAGGGAAGATAGAGCTTCTCCCTATTTTTTATTTTCTTGTTATTGTTTCCATGGGTTTGAAGCATAGGGGTCAAGGGCAGGCCACCCCAAGATGGGCCACTTTGGCATGAACATTATTTTGAGTTCAAAGCAATCCAAACCCAGCAGATTCAGAAAAAAACTCTTTATCTCCCCCATCAAGTACCTGCTTTACCAGGAAGAGAGCTATTGACAGAGAGTCCCCTTTACCCAAGAAGCTTATCTGCGCAATAGGGCAATCTTTGTTTTTTCAAAACCTCTCCTTTCTTCTCCAGGCTAATAGCCTTCCTACTCTTATCCTGAGGCTCCCACCCCTGTTCTTAGCTCACAAAAGCTTCATGTTACCTCCATGTCTTTGGAATTTCCACATCTGTGTGAATTCCCTGTACATACGTTATTACATTCGATTTTCTCCTGCTAATCTGTCTTACATCAATTTGATTCTAATTCCAGCTAGAAGAGCCTCGAAGGGCAGAGGAAAGTCTACCTCCCCGAGAGAGGGAAGGAATGAAGGAAACAGGCCTTATTCTGCCATATTTATATTCCCAACTATTATCTGAAACACCTCTTCACAAAGCCTTAGGATCACTGCTAGACACCCTTAAGATTTTTCCATATTTCTTCATCAACCCAAACTTGTTTACTGGTCTTGTTCGTGACCAGCCTAAAACTTTCACTGGCCTTCTACTATCTCCTACGGGTGTTTCCGTCCCAACCCTCATCTTGTGACATCCTCAGTGGGAAATTAGTTTGTCATCCTGACAATGTTTCCCCTCAGGTTATTTCTCCCACCTGTGCTTCCTCATCTGTCTTTATGGTTGCACATGTTATACTACTAAAATACAATTACCCGAATTTGTTGTTAAAACAAATCTTAGGTCTAAGGGATTAGAAGCAAACATGGGCAAAGGCTTTCTCCAAAGAAACTAAAATTACTGTTTTTGATTCTAGTGTCTCTTCTCCAACACAATCTACATACTTATTACTACCAATTAATCTTTTAAAATACCCTTTTGTTAAGACACTGGCAATGGCTTATCTCTATGTCAGGAACAAAAAAAATCTAAATCCTTAGCCTGGTGTCCAAGATACAGATCATGACAGGTTACGCAGAAAGAATACAAACTTTGTAGTCTGGCCCTCTTCAGTTTTAATACAAGATCTACTTCTTCACCGTGCGATGTTAGGTAAGCCTCTTGGCTTCTCTGAGCTTCACTCCAGACAAGCTTGTCGAATCTTCATTACCAACATGCAAGACACCCTCCTACCAACCATGCAAAGACCTCCATACCCTCAGATTTCCTCTCTTAAGACCCAGCTCCTCAGATTGGGGCGCCTGGGTGGCTTAGTCGGTTAACCGTCCGACTTTCGCTTAGGTCATGATCTCGCAGTTCGTGGGTTCGAGCCCCTCGTCGGGCTCTGTGCTGACTGCCAGCTCAGAGCCTGGAGCCTATTTCAGAGTCTGTATCTCCCTCTCTCTCTGACCCTCCCCTGCTCACGCTGTCTCTCTCTCTCCTAGAAATAAATAAATATATATATATATAAAAAAAAGACCCAGCTCCTCAGAGAAGCCTTTTGATGATCATTCTTTCCTCTCATGTTGGTAGTTTATTCATACCCATCATCTGACAAACTGCCTGAGATATTTTATGTTGTTCTACTTAGTCCCATTTCTCGCCTAGACTTTAAACCCTGAGCCAGGGAACCTAGGTGGCTCAGTGAGTTAAGTGTCTGACTTCAGCTAAGGCCATGATCTCATGGTTTGTGAGTCTGAGCCCCACATCAGGCTCTGAGCCTGGAGCCTGCTTCGGATTCTGTGCCTCCCTCTCTCTGTGCCCCTCCTCTGTTCATACTCTGCTCTCTCTCTCTCTCAAGAATGAATAAACATTTAAAAAAAATTTTTTAATAACATAAATAAAGAAATAAACCCTGAGAAAACAAATGCCATGTTTTGTGCATCTCTGTATTCTCAGCCCACAGTGAGGGGTCCAATATTTATTAAATAAGTGATAAAATCTAACATTTTTTAAACCTCACACAAATAATTTTTTAAAATCTCAAATCATAGACTAGTAATATCTAAAAGCTATCATTAATTAAACATTTTTTTCTTGAAATAGGAACTGTAGTCTAAGGTAACCAAATAGCCGCAGTTGATGAGTGAAAGCTCTTCTTATTAGAAGAGTGTCAGGTAATAAAGGGAGAAGATATGAAAGAAATTTGAAATATCACCATTTTCCAGCAAGGATTCAGGTACAAATCATCAGTGGGTTTGGCCAAAGCCACTAGGTGAAAAGTTAATGGATATTAATGGATATTAACCTGATGCCACCGTCCCCCACTATGTGATGGTCGCAGAAGGGGACAAAAAAGAACTTGACAATGTGGGCTGACGCTGTCACCACCTAATTCCAATAATCAGCCTTACAATCTCATACGGGATGACCAGATACTGTGCATCCCCCGGTTTGATGCTCTGGGAAGAACATACGGCACCACCGAGGCAGTGCTGTTGCCTAAAATGTTCAACTGGTGTCTAAACCAGGTCTGTACGTCTAACTTCCAGCTTTCAGAAAATACTGAGGCTATAGAAATAATTTAGACAACAGGGGGAAAAATCAGACTAATCCAGGAGGTAGGACACTCTACAAGATACCTGGCCAAGTCAATCTTTCAGAAGTCAATCTCCTGGGTGGCTCAGTCAGTTAAGCATACCACTCTTGATTTTGGCTCAGGTCACGATCTCACGGTTTGTGAGATGGAGCCTCGCTGTTGGGCTCTGTGCTGATGGTGTGGGACCTGCTTGGGATTGTCTCTCTCTCCCTCTCTCTTTCTCTCCCTTTCTCTCTGCCCCTTCCCCATGCTCTCTGTCTCTCTCAAAATAAATAAATGAATAAACATTTAAAAAAGGAAGTCAATGTCCTAAAATTTAAAAAACAGGGGCGTCTGGGTGGCTCAGTTGGTTAAGCATCCGACTTTGGCTCAGGTCAAGATCTCATGGTTCGTGGGTTCGAGCCCCGCATCAGGCTCTGTGCTGACAGCTAGCTCAGAGCCTGGAGCCTGTTTCAGATTCTGTGTCTCCCTCTCTCTCTGACCCTCCCCTGCTCACGCTGCCTCTCTCTTTCTCAGAAATGAATAAAACATTAAAAAATTTAAAAAAAAAAACAAAAGTGAGGGAAGTAAGGCATACAGGCCACAACAAGCAAACATGAAGTGTGGTTCATGGCTGGGAACCACAATGAATAACCAGGCGTGAAAATACTTCAAAATAATCTGGAAAACCTAAACTTAGCCTAGAATTAGATACTATGGAAATACCATTAACTTTACGAAGTATGACAACGGTATTGTGGGGGGGAGGAAAAAGGTCATTTTTAGAGATTACCATCTTCTGAGATCTAATACTTTCCGCTGCTTAATATCTTCAAGAGGAGAATACTGAGGCCACTCCCTTTGATGTCTTCCTTTTTTGTCTGAAGTTTTTTTCTTGCAAATTTGTTTCTTTACATTGCCTAGAACACAAGAGTATAAAGTAAGCAAAATGCTGGAGACCAAATAAGCCATCATAGGAGAACTATTAATTACGTAACAAAATTAAAAAGTAATGCCACTAGTTCTCAAAATATTTGCAAACATGTTGAAGAAAAGACATGCATCTTCAAGAATACTGCCCTAGCTTAAAGAACGAGAATAAAAACAAGTTTAAGCAACCACGAGCGTTAATTCCTATTCGATTCTTACATTCCATCTCCTGATCTAGTCGCTTAGCTAAGAAAAGAATCAAACACAAAATCTTTGGTTTAGAAAATCAAATTCCCACCAGTAAAATCTTTAATTCAACCACTTTCCAGAAAATGAATCCCTTTCTGCAAAACAACAAAACCACATTAACGCAAGCCTGTTAAGAAAGTAAAAGCACTAGATCCAATAATGCAATGATGTGATATTTAAAAATACTTCCAGGCCTTACAGAGACCACAAAATGGATTAAGAATGATGCTCACATGTACATTATTAAAATGTGATTTCAGCACCAGGAACTAGAACAGAAAATGAAGTCTTCCTTCTGTGCGTGCGTGCGTGTGTGCGTGTGTGTGTCTGCGCGTGTGTGTGTGGGTGTGGGTGTGTACTTAAGTGTACACACACCCACACACACACGCGCAGACACACACACGCACACACACACCACTCTCTCCAAAAGACACGTAAAGCAAATAGCAGTGGTCACCTAAGGGGGAGGGGAACTGGAATCTAGACAAAAAAAAGATAAAACTGAGAATGAGACACCGTACTGTTTAATTTTTACACTTTCTGTTTCTGAACCACGCAAATGGATTGTTCAGGCAGTAAAAATTATTTAATTAAAATCTTGGAGCGCCTGGGTGGCTTAGTCGGTTGAGCGTCCGACTTTCGCTTAGGTCATGATCTTTTTGTTTGTGGGTTCGAGCCCCTTGTTGGGCTTTGTTCTGACTGCCTGCTCAGAGCCTGGAGCCTGTTTCCGAGTCTGTGACTCCCTCTCTCTCTGACCCTCCCCTGCTCACGCTGTCTCTCTCTCTCTCCTAGAAATAAATTTTAAAAATTAAAAAAAAATAAAATAAAATCTTAACTATAGAGGACAAACTAATGGTTACCAGACGGAGGTGGGTAGGGGCATAGATGAAATAAGTGATGGGAATCAAGGGGTGCACTTGTAGAATGAGCACCGAGTGAGGTATGGAATGCTGAGTCACTACATTGTATGCATGAAACTAATATTACACTATCTGTTAACTGACTGGAATCTAAATTAAAGCTTTAAAAAATATATTAATAAATCACATCCAAGTTTCATGTCCCTAAAATACCATTAACATTTCAGACAGCTATGCTCAAATACTTTAACAATTTTCACACATACTACATTTTCAATGAAATAATCAAACCTGTTATAAAAATTATATAAGAGCTAAGATTTTATTTTATGATTTATTCGTAATGAGAAAACATAGATTATAGAGAGATATATCTAGAAAATAGACGTGGAAAGGGGCTTGTTTCATTCGCCCGTCAATAAAACCAAAGCCAGCTGGAACTCAGAAACTATTGTGACACAGGGTATTTCTCTAATTTTTGCAAGATGTCATAATGACAAACACTGTAATATCCCAAACCCGGTTTTTCCCCATTCCCTCTAGCTATTCAAAGTCTTCACAGAGAACACAACAACATTTCTAGCGAGCTGAATAACCAACCGCTGGCAAACAAGAGCTAAGTCTCATTCTGACAAGTTTCTTCCACTAATAAAATAAACCTTAGAGAGTGAAAAGATGGAAAAGTACTTTCCAATATTTCTTCTGATGTCTTCTCTGCCCAATAATGCCTTAATGCCCTACACAGTTTTCCCAGCCACTTAAATTCTTAGAGGCTAATGAAGCGTGCTAATCTGTGCCCTCAGCACCCCCAGATGGTCCGGACCCACATGCTTTCTTTCCTCTGAGGTTCACCTGAGCCTGCCCTCCATCACCTTCAACTTCACGCCTAGGAGCCCCCTGGGCTAAATAAGTGTGTGTTCCAAGTAAGCCCCCTTCGTGAAATCCACCTATTGCCACACAGGCAAAATTCCACTCAGTTCGGGAGAGAGGAAAGTTCTGGCAGAGTGGAAGCCAAGTCTAAGAGGAGAACATCATAGATCCACACCGGAACACCCTGTCTCGCCATCTCATCAACCCCAGGAACCTCTAGCCACTGCTGTTTGGCATTGTCATATTGTTCCATTCCACCCTACCCACAACACAACCATATAGCTCCAACACCGGAAGAAACACACATACATACACACCTACATCTGTTCACCACACTGCCTTCTAGAGAAAGGCCTGAGGATGACAAAGTAAAATGTCTGCACCTTTTTGACTTGAGGAACCACGGGACAGAGTTCTGGGCAATCACTGCCACTGGAAAGTGAGGCGGGTGGGTGCCCCAGAAAATAAAAGAGCCAGAAAAGGGGAGACTCAAATTCTGTGCGTAAATTTGGCCCCAATCTTGGGCTGACCCTGAACCATGAGCAGACCCCAAAAGCACAGCTAAGGCTGAAACATATTGGACAGAGATTTCAAATGTCCTTAAGAGACAGGATTTGTGGTTTTAGTCAAACCAAATGTATTGCTGCTAAAATTAAAAACAAACAAATGAGCACGCTTGAAATAAAGCACTCTTTGGAGGAATATACAAGAATCCAAAATCAACATAACATTTCCAACACCCAGGATACAATCCAAAATTATTAAATATGTGAGGAAACTGGAAAATGTGACACATTCTCTGGAAACAAGATAAGACCAACTCGGAGATGACCCAGATTTTAAAACTGGCAGATAAGGATTCTATCTTACCTTATCTTATTTTAAGTAGGCTTCACACTCAGCACAGAGCCCAAAATGGGGCTTCAACTCACAACCCTGAGATCAAGACCTGAGCTGAGATCTTCACTGACTGAGCCACTCAGGCACCCCAGCAGATAAGAATTTTAAAGTGGATATTATAGGGGCACCTGGGTGGCTTAGTCGGTTAAGCGTCCGACTTTCCGACTTTCGCTTAGGTCATGATCTTGCTGTTCTTGGGTTCGAGCCCCTCTTTTGGCTCTGTGCTGACTGTCAGCTCAGAGCCTGGAGCCTGTTTCAGTCTGTGACTCCCTCTCTCTCTGACCCTCCCCTGCTCACGCTGATTCTCTCTCCTAGAAATAAATAAAACATTTAAAAAAAAATGTAAATTCCAGAACTAAATGAAACAAATAATTCATGGAATATACCTAAAAGCTGTCTTTAAGACATGCACTTTATCTTTTTTTTCAGCTATAAACTTTTTATCAAGAGGAAGATGAATCACGTCTTTTCTTTTTTGAGTCGAGGTGACACACACCGTGACACTCATTTCAGGTGTCCAACACAGCGATTCAACAGCTCTATATGCTATACCCATCACAGAGTAGCTACCATCTGTCACCACACCACACTATTAGAGAAGCATTGACTATATTCCCTATGGTTTATTTTGACTATATTCCCTACCTTTTATACCCATGAGACATTCACTCTCTATCAGGAAACCTGTATCTCCCACACCCCTTCACCCATTTTGCCTGTCCCCCACGCCCCTCGGCTCTGGCAACCATCAGTTTGTTCTCTGTATTTATAGGTCTGATTCTGCTTTCTGGTTTTTTGCTTGTTTATTCATTAGTTTTAGGTTTTAGATTCCACATTTAAGTAAAATCCTATGTATTTGTCTTTCCCTGTCTGACCTGTTTCACTTAGCATGATACCTTCTAGATCCATCCATGTTGCGCATGGCAAATTCTCATCCATTTTTATGGTTGAGGAGGGATGCACTTTAAATATAAAAAAATACAAGTTGAAAATAAGTGGACGGACGGGGCCCCTAGGTGGCTCAGTTGGTTAAGCATCCGACTTTGGCTCAGGTCATGATCTCGCAGTTCTCGGGTTCAAGCCCCGCATCAGGTTCTGTGCTGACAGCTCAGAGCCTGGAGCCTGTTTCAGATTCTGTGTCTCCCTCTCTCTCTATTCCTCCCCCGATCATGTTCTGTCTCTCTCTGTCTCAAAAATAAATTAAAAAAAAAAAAGAAAAGAAGTGGACGGAAAGAGATACACCATGCAAACACTAGTCAAAAGCTGGAGTATCTAGATTAATATCAATCAACGAAGCTTTCAGAACAAGAAGTATTACCAGGAATAATGAGGGACATTTCATAACAATAAAAAGGTCAATTCAATAAGAGGAAATAAAGCTTATAATTATGTGTGCACCTAATTAATAGAGTTACAAATTACCTGGAAGCAAAAATCAACAGAATTAAATGCAGCAAGGGTAACAATCATAGCTGGAGATTTCTAACACCTATTTTCAGCCATTAGTAGAATAAGACAAAAATTAAGTAGTGACACAGAAGATGTGAGCAACACTCTCAAACACTCTGACCCGATATGTATGTATAGAATACTACATCCAACAAGAATGCACATTCTTTTCAAATGGACATGGTACATCACCAACATAGACTGTGTGTCAGGTCATAAAACAAGTCTCAGCCCATTTTAAAGACAAGTTTATATGTCCTCTGTCCACAGTGGAAATAAATTAGAAATCAATATTGGGGCGCCTGGGTTGCTCAGTCAGTTAAGCATCAGACTCTTGATTTTGGCTCAGATCACGATCTCATGGTTCCTGGGATCAAACCCTGCATAGGGCTCTGCACTGACAGCATAGAGCCTGCTTGGGATTTTCTCTTTCTCCCTCTCTCTCTGCCCCTCCCCCGCTCACGTGTGTGTGCACGCATGCGCTCCCTCTCTCTCTCTCAAAATTAATAAACTTTTTAAAAAATCAATATTTTGACAGGGCACCTGGGTGGCTGTTGGTCAAGCGTCTGACTTCAGCTCAGATCATGATCTCACGGTTCATGGGTTCGAGCCCCACGTCAGGCTCTGTGCTGACAGCTCAGAGCCTGGAACTTGCTTTGGATTCTGTGTTTCCCTCTCTCTGCCCCTTCTCAGCTCACACTCTGTCTCTCTCTACTTCAAAAATAAATAAACATTAAAAAATTTTAAAAGAATTCACAAAGAAAAAAGGAATTTAAAAAAAAATCAATATTTAGAAAAAGCCCCAAAATATCAGGAAATTTAGCAGCATACTTCTAAACAGTAACACATATGTCAAAGAAGAAATCACAAGGGAATTAGAAAATACTTCAAATTACATGATAATAAAAATAAAGTGTATCAACATTTGTGGGCTGGGGCTAACACAGTACTCACAGGGCAATTTTAAGCACAAAATGCTGCAAGTAGAAAAGTCTTGAATGAAAACATTGGAAAAAGAAGAAGCAAGTAAGCCCAAAGTAAGTAGAAGAAAGAAAATAATAAAGGGGCGCCTGGGTGGCTTAGTCGGTTAAGTGTCCGACTTTCGCTTAGGTCATGATCTCGCGGTTCTTGGGTTCGAGCCCCGCGTCGGGCTCTGTGCTGACTGCCAGCTCAGAGCCTGGAGCCTGTTTCCGAGTCTGTGACTCCCTCTCTCTCTGACCCTCCCCTGCTCACGCTGTCCCTCTCTCTGTCTCTCTCCTAGAAATAAATAAAACATTAAAAAAAAAGAAAATAATAAAAAGCATAATTCCATAGAATAGAAAACAAACAATTGGGAAAAATTAACAAAGCTAAAAGCTGGTTATTTGAAAAGATGAACAAAACTGATAAATCCCTTGCTAGAAGAAAAAAGAAAGAGAACATAAATTACCAGTATCAGGAATGAAAGAGGAGTTATTACTAAAAGACTCTGTAGACATTAGAGGGATAAAAAGGACTAGAAGAAATAACTCTGGGGAGGGGCGCCTGGGGGGCTCAGCTGGTTAAGCAGCCAACTCTCGGTCTTGGCTCAGGTCATGAGCTCCTGGTTGGGGAGATCAAGCCCCCCATTAGGCTCTGAGAGCTCAAAGCCTGCTTGGGATTCTCTCTCTTCCTCCCTCTCTGCCCCTCTCCTGCTCATGTTCTCTACCTCTCTCAAAATAATTAAAAAACATTTTAAAAATAACTCTGAGGTGCCTGGCTGGCTCAGTCGGTTAAGTGTGAGTCTCTCAGTTTCAGCTCAGGTCAGGATCTCGCAGTTGGTGAGAGCGAGCCCCACATCGGACTCTGTGCTGACAGTGCAGAGCCTGCTGGGGATTCTCTCTCCCTTCTCTGCCCCTCCCCTGCGTGTGCCCCCTCTGTCTCACTTGCTCACTCTCTCAAAATAAATAAATAAACTTAAAAAAGGAAAAAAGAGAAAAAGAAATAACTTCATGCCAACAAAATTGGCAGCTTAGATCAAATGGAGAAACTTAAACTTGACAGAATTAGTGGGAATCGAGACAGCCCCATGATCACAGTTAGACATGTGTCAGACCCCTCTGTAAAGCTCTCAGAAAATGGGAGCGAACACTTCCCAACTCGTCTTAGGAGACCTGCGCAGCCCTGATTCCAACACCTGAAAAATACATTACAAAAAAATTATAGACCAATCACCTGTAAAGGTAGACACAAAGCGAAACCCCCCTGACATGCTGAGAACACAAATCTACATTACGTTCTGTGAAACAAGTGAACTTGGCAAATAAACAAGAAGTATGGGGTTTTAGAAAAAGAAGCCTAGAAGTAAAAGACAAATCCTACCTCGGCCTCCTCCTCGCTTTCATCTTTCCACAAGCAACTCATCCTCTCTGGGCCCCAATCTTTTTACCTATAAAATGAGGATAAGAGCACCTACCACATAAAAATCCTGTATTACTGTGACTTCAAAAGAAAGGAGTGAAAAGCAATAGTGCTGGCCACAGGGCCACCACTCTGCAATTGCGAAGGCTGTGCACTGCACCCTAGGTAAATAGCGCCCTCTAAATTGTGCAGTACACAACCCAGTCAGGAGAACCTGGAGACCCCCTGGGTGCTCAAACAATTTTAACAAGAAAAAGCCACACTGTTATATAGTGGAAGAGAAAACTAAATGTTTAATTGGGAAAGATGAATTCATGTCTTTGCAAAAGCATAAAATAGCAGTATGTTATTCTAGCCACCTCATTAACAATTTCTAAGCCACCGTACACTTTTCTGCAATACCTGTATTTTACAGCATTCTCAGATTTTTCAAAGTTCTAAAGGTTATGTGTGAAGTTTCCAGTGGCAAGCCATTAATGAACTAAATGTCCTCTGCCCAGAGTTATTTTTTAACTACAGTGACAGACAGCATGATAGCCATGTTCCTTGGATAGCGGTATAAAAGGAATGCTCAATGGCAAGCTTAAACAAGATATACTGTTTTCTTATTATTTTCACATATGATGTTCACGCCTCCTTCCTTACCTGATTTGTGTTTCAAATTCATGGTCACCCCGTCAAATTCAGACTTATCAATTTCCCATGCGAGAGGTAGCTTGCCCAGGCTATGGGATAAGTTGTCCAAGCTATTTTCTTCATTGTAGATGATTTCTGATGTACTAGCTGGGATGCCGATGTACCTTGATGGGTTATTTCCGGCAGATAAAGAGGTACTATCGGGGAGGCAAGAAGAGCGGGTTGAATTTGGAGCTTTATAGATTGAGGTTGCCTGGTTGAGAAAGGCATAGTCTGAACAGATGGCATAAATTTTCTCCCGAGTATGGGTCACTGGACAGCTCCACGGATAATGACCATCTCCTTTGGGACCCAAGGGTGCCCCCGAGGCACGAGTGCAGAAAGACTGTACAGCACCTTGTAGATTCTCTTCAGGAGAGTTTCTCTCGGATTTGTGCTCACCATTTCCAGAATCATTTGCCCTTTCTGCTTCTGCAATGTTAGGCATTGAATGCAACTCTAAAAGCTCTGCGAAGGAGAAGTTGTAGCTCTTTCTGCTACTTGAAAACCAACTGTGACAACCGTTTACAGCATCCTACAGAAGCTTGAGAGCCGTAAAATGGGATCCTAAGAAAAGAGCGAGGAGGAAAAAAACATCAACAATCCGCGAGATGCTACAGAAGCCTAAAAAATACATCAAATATTTCACCCGGCTTCATTCAATGAACATTTCCTTGACAACTACCATACATCTAGAGTCACAATCACGGCCCATCTGCCTTATTAAAAAATTCTTTTACAATAATGCTTTAGAGGAATCAAAAAGACAACTCAATTAAAAATGGGCAAAATATCTGAAGAGTCACTTCTCCAAACAGTGTAGAAATGGTCAATGAACGCAATGAACAGAGGCTCAACACCATCAGCCATCTCGGAAATGCAAATGAAAACCCCAGAAAGATATACGTCACACCCAGCAGGATGGCTCTGATGGAAAAAAAACAGGTGATAAGGATTGGGGACGATGTGGTGACTGGGAACCTCACGCACTTCTGATGGGAATACAAAATGGTCCAGGCACTCTGGAGCACAGTTCCTCAAACACAGAGTGACCACAGGACCAAGCAATTCCACTCCTAGGTACCGATGTCAGAGAAATGAAGGCACATGGCCACACAAATCTTCGCAGCAGCATTATTGATAATAGCCCAAAAGGGGAAACAACCCAAATATCCATCAACTGATGAATGGATTAAAAAAGATAAATAAAATGTAGCTTCTCCATGCTATAGAATATTATCGGGCAGTACAAATAAATGAAATACTGACCCACACCACAACATGGATGGATCTTGAAAGCATTCTGCTAAATGAATGGAGCCAGTCACAAAGGAGCAGACAGTGTATGATTCCATTTATACGAACTGTTCAGAAGAGGCAAGTCTCCCGTGACAGAAATTAGATTAGTGGGTTACCTACAGCTGGGAGGGAGGAGGAGGTTGGGGATGATGGGGTTTCTTTTTGGAATAATGACACTATTCTATAATTGACTGAGGTGGTGAATCCACAACTTTATGAATATACTAAAAGCTACTGAAGTGGACATTTGAAACAGGTGAATTGTGTGGTGTGTGACTTATATCTCAGTAAAGCTGTGCACCTGTCACCACAATCAATTATAGTTGGGAGTCGCTACCTTCTGGTCAGTCTCAGGAAAAACCCATTTTCTTTTTCTTTTTCTTTTTTTTTTAATTTTATTTATTTCTAGGAGAGAGAGAGAGAGACAGCATGAGCAGGGGAGGGTCAGAGAGAGAGGGAGACACAGACTCTGAAATAGGTTCCAGGCTCTGAGCTGGCAGTCAGCACAGAGCCCGACGCGGAGCTCGAACCCATGAACCACGAGATCATGACCCAAGTGAAAGTCGGACGCTTAACCGACTAAGCCACCCAGGCACCCCAGGAAAAACCCATTTTCAAGTCTACACCGATTCCCTTGGGGAAGAAAACAGAGAACAGCTTAAACAGCAACCAAGTGCATTTAAGGAAGCTGGAGACTTACAGGACCTTGATGAGTCAGACCAGCACAGGTGGTACAAGAGGGTGCTGGATGCAGGTACCAGATCTGAGTGTGCCCACCTCACAGGGAAAAGAAGTCAAGAGACAGAGCCCACCCCAGGTGCCCAGTTTGATGTTTACTAGTCAATATCTCTGCCCATTCACTTATTTTAAAAAAAAATTAGAAGTGAGAATAATTTCCTTAGGTTACAGAAAATGATTATATAAAACCCCGCATACAAATCCTGAATGGCAAAAACCTCTAAGATAACAAGAAATAACAGAAGAGGGATTGCCACAGGGCCATGGTCCCTCTGAGTCTGTGGGGAGAAACTAGTACAGGTAATGCATGTCCTTCATGTAATTTAGGTAACAGAGCTCAGTAAGAGGACCCCATATATCCTACAAGAGTCCGCTCCATTTATGTGTAAGGAATGCTTTCCTTATTTTCTTTTTTTAATGTTTACTTATTTTTGAGAGAGAGAGACAAAGAGAAAAAGTCAGGAAAGGGCAGAGAGAAAAGGAGACACAGAATCCAAAGCAGGCTCCAGGCTCTGAGCTGTCAGCACAGAGCCCCATATGGGGCTCGAACTCAGGAACCTTGAGATCATGACCTCAGCCAAAGTCAGCGCTCAACCGACTGAGCCACCCAGCTGCCTCAGGAATGCTTTCCTTCTATTCAAACCTTCCCATAGTGAGTTTGTAATTGGTGCACAGTTTACAGTTATTTGCAGAAAACTCAGTTTGGCTGGAGCCTCCCCACCAAAGATGGAACACCACTACCATTTTGGAATCTTCTCCTGTTTTCAAGAAACCCTGGGAGTGTTGGCAGTGGATTTCTAAACAGGAAGCCTTCTCTTTCTTCCTCATCTCCTGGTGTCATGATGATGTTGGAGGAAGACGCAAATAGAAGCTCGGATCTGAGGCTGTACAGACCAAGCTGGGCTTTTCTGAGGAGTCGATTTCTCTGATTCTTGGCAGATGAGCTAACAAAGCACTTTCTACTGATCTGTCAACCTGGTGCCTTTCTCCGAGAACCAGCGTGGTGGGCGGAGGTAGGTATTATTTGTGGTGTTGGGGCTGTATGGGTGGGCTGTGATAGGGTGAAGCATGAGGGATAGCACAGGGCCCTGGTATGTAAGGGGTAGTGACCCAGGGTGTTGGAGTCCCTCGGAGGGGGTGGTGGAGACAGAAATGCTCCAGGCACTGCCCTAACGTCTTCATCTCAAGCTTAACTTCTACTTTACCACAGCTTCCTTCTTCAGACTTCATGTGAGTGCTGCGCCAGTGGGACCAGCTCTCCGTAGTGTGGGAATGTCGGGAAAGATGCTCATTTGGAACATATATAGAATATTCTAATCCAAAACTAGGCAAAAGGAAATTAGTGCATTAGCACAAAAGGTAGGGTTGAAGTGGTTCAGTCAGTTAAGCATCTGACTCCTGACTTGATTTCCACTCAGGGCATTATCTCATGGTTCATGAGATCAAGCCCCGCATCTGGCTCTGCACTGATGGTACAAAGCCTGCTTGGGATTCTCTCTCTCCCTCTCTCTCTGCCCCTCCCCTGCTTGTACGTGCACGCTCTGCTCTCTCTCTCAATAAATAAATAAACTTTTTCTTTGAAAAAAGGTAGGGTTGAACTTTCTGGAAGCTAAAGACAAGAAAGAACATAGCACTTCGTTAACAAAAAGTTTAACAGTGGTTTTCTTCATGTTTTTGGGTTTGGTTGCTTTTAAATAATGGTCGCTCAACAAGAATGGCCTCCTTGGTGATACTTCTACAAATAGAAAAGTAAAGATCATCAACATAAGGACATAATTCATATCGATTGTCAATAAAAGCCAACAGTGCTATGAAAACATTCTCATTTGAACCACTGTTCGTGGAAATTTCTCCTTGGAAAACTGTACTATTTCTAGATTTTTATCACAGAAGTAAAACAAATGGCAGAGAAAAATACTGCAAAATGCCAAGATATGACACAAAGAAAATGAAAATCATCCAACTCCGGTGACCCCAACCCTGTTGGTGTTTATTTTCTTTCCTTATTATGTGTCAGATCTGGGGAATGTTTTCCCCGTCAGTGTGAGCCCTTGAGGCTAAAGATGTTAGTATTATCTCATCCTCAGCCTTTCCTACAAGGGAACACAGCACAAGTCATTACTGACAGCAAAATCATTAGAGACGGCGATCTCTGTTTTATGTTGGGATTATGGCCCCAGGAAAGACTGAGGGACAAAGAGGCACTTGTCCCTCCACTAAACAGCCTGCACCTCCCCAGGTTTTGTCACATCTGGTGTCCCCTCTCGTTAGCATTATGGATTCCCGAGCCCATCCCCACTCCCAGCACCACCACCCCGCTGCTGGGTTGACATTTCTAATCTGACCTATGCAGGGTTATTAGAAAATAAAGCTTGGACACACAGATGATCATGTAACTCCCCTGCCTAGAACCTTCTACCCTTACAACAAAAAGCCAACTCCTTGCCTGGCCCCAGGATCGGATCTCTTTAGCTCCACCCTTTCCCTCTTTCAGAGCCCCCTTCCTGCTTCCAACTTTCCGTCTCTGGATGCGGTCTCCTCCCACTCACCCTCCAGAACTGGTTAATTCCCGTTTATTGCACATACCCTTCCATGTCACTTTCTGGGGATTCTTTCTTTGCTCCCCAAACTAGGCTGGGTCGCCCTGTACATACTCAGTACCTTTCTTTAACAAGAAGGGTAATTCCCCCGGAGAAGAGCATTTTTTAAAAGTCTCATCAACTGGGGCGCCTGGGTGGCTGAGTCCCTGGAGCATCCGACTTCGGCTCAGTTCATGATCTCACGGTTCATGGGTTTGAGCCCCGTGTCAGGCTCTGAGCTGTCAGCACAGAGCCTGGAGCCTGATTCAGATTCCGTGTCTCCCTCTCTCTGACCCTCCCCTGCTCATGCTGTCTCTCTCTGTCTCTCACTCTCTCTCAGAAATAAATATAACATTAAAATTTAAAAAAAAAAATAAAAGTCTCATCAACAAATACTTAACTTTTAAATGCCTACGTCATGCCGGGCATTAGTTCAAGCCCCAGCTTAGGAGCCTAGATTCCAGGATGATTTACTGGGAGAGGCTTTAGGGATCAGGAGCTGGTCTGTGGGCCACGCAGCCTCTTTTTCCACCTCCCGGGGGTGCCATCTGTGAGAACGGAGTTTCCTAATCCAGGTAAGAGAGGCGATGCTCTATTACGACTTTACTAAGAATGACTGCCAGGACCGAAGGCTCAATTTACTGATGTGATCTTAACGATCGTGGCACAAGCAACAGAAACACTATCCAACTGTGGGTGAACACAGTTTTATAAAAAGCACCTCCAGGGTAACGATTTTTAAAAGTCACTGGAACGAACTGTTCCGTCAAACTGACGTTCCATTTATAAGGTCATTATTCATCGCCTAGGCTACATTCGTTTCGGTTTATATTTTCAACCCGTATTTTAAGACATCAAGTCTGCTTAGGGAGCGAAAGACCTTAAGAAGGCTCTTCAGCAAGCCTCCCATATGACAACTATCACGATCTATACTCTGTACGGAAGGCCAGGGAAAGGCAGCAGCATGGAAGTGACTTACTAACAGCGGAAAAGGCGCCCGCGAGCCGGGCCAGACGCGCTAAGCCCCAGCGGGCCAGGTCTCGGTCCCGGTCCCCGGTGTCCTCCTCACGCGCTCCGGGCCCCTTGCCGGGCTCACACCCGAGTCCCTTCCCCGGCAGCGGCCGCCGGGCTCAGAGCGGCCGGGGCCGGGCGACCGTCTCCCCGGCGGGGCCCCGCCGCGCCGAGCCGGGCTGTGCGGAGGCGGCGCCGGCCGCGGGGAGGAGCCAGGCTGCGCTCGCCGCCCGCGCGCGCTCCCCGGGGAACCGCGGTCCCCAGCCCGCGTCCCCGCAGCGAGGCCTCCGGGCCCCTCCGCCGTTCCCTCCCGGGCCGGAAGCCGGAGTCCGCCGCTAGGGGGAGCGTCGCGGACGCCGCTGGGGTGACGGCGTGCAGCTGCTCGGGGCCCCGCGGCCGGCGGGACGCGGCGGTTAGTGCGCCCAGGCCAGGAGGGAGCCGCCTGTTTCAGCCTCGAATGCACCCGTTGAAATCAGTACTCGAGACAATTGCAAAAAAAAAAAAAAAAAAAGAAAAGAAAACAGAAACCGGACTCCCACCCAGGCCAGCTTTTGCCCGCGGAGCGCCGCTAGGGGGAGCGTCGCGGACGCCGCTGGGGTGACGGCGTGCAGCTGCTCGGGGCCCCGCGGCCGGCGGGACGCGGCGGTTAGTGCGCCCAGGCCAGGAGGGAGCCGCCTGTTTCAGCCTCGAATGCACCCGTTGAAATCAGTACTCGAGACAATTGCAAAAAAAAAAAAAAAAAAGAAAACAGAAAAGGCCCCCGGACTCCCACCCAGGCCAGCTTTTGCCCGCGGAGCGCCCCGGCGGGTCTGGGCTTGCCGGGGGGCAGCTGGCGGGGAGGGCTGGAGGCTCCGGGTCCGACCCCGGAGCTGACCGTGACCCCTCCTGCTGACCCCTTCCCCCTGGCCAGGGGGCGGCCGTGCGGGGAGGCAGGGGCGGCCACCGCGCGCTCCCGGCCAGGCCCTGCCTTGCGTGGCGTGGGCACCGGCGCCTGGCGGGAGTCGCCGGTATCCACGCGCATCTCCAAATCAGGCTTTGTTCCCGAGAGCGCTCGCCCCCCATCCCCCTAACGCTTCCCCCACGTTGCGGCCCAGCTCGTCGCCCCTACTTTCTCCCGGGAGGAGGACGGGCAGGGATGCCGTGGCCGGGGAGCCCACGGCCGCCTGCGATCCGGGCGGCACAGCGGCTCCCGGGGCGGGCGGGCGGCAGGCAGCAGGCCCGGCCCGCGGCGCGCGAGTGCCCGGCGGAGGGCCCCGCGCCCCGGGCTCACCGCCGCCAGCCCGCGCCTCCGCCCAGCCCGCGGCCCCGGGTACCTGTGGCCGGTCCCGCGGGGTCGAGTCCCCGCGGCCGCCGCAGAGCTGCCCCGGGCCCGGGTCACAGCCTCCCGCGCGCGGCCCGCCACGTGCCTGCGGGGACCCTGGCGTCGGTCGTCCCATCGGAGCGCGCGGGGACTGCGCCCTGGACCGCTGAGCCCGGCGGCCGGCCGTCAGATGTCATCGGCAACGCCTTCCTTTCATCGCGTTGTAGAATACCTGCCGTCTGCACGTGCGGAGGATATGCTGACACTTTTTTCTTTTAATCCTCGCTGTGTCCCCGCACGCCCCTCTGTTGGGCGCCGAGTCTGTATCTGCTCCCTGAAAGCGGTGACCGCAAAGTAAATAAACGAGTGAGAGCAGGTAAAGCCTGGCAGATTTCCGCTAGCCCCGTCGCGAACTACAAGTCCCGGCAAGCCACGGAGCAGGGACGCCGCCGCGCCACCCAATGGGAGACGGCCTTACTCAGCCCGCCGGACGCGCGGGCCAATCGGCTCGCCCTGCACCTGGGGCCGGAGCCCGAGCCCGATTCGCCCCGGGGGATGCTCTGCTTGTGAGAGCGGCGCCAGTGTACCCTCGTCGGGAGACCGAGGGGCGGCGTGCTGAAGACGCGCGGCAGCCTTCGGCCGGACCGGCCCGCGCGCCGCCTGCGGTTTCCCCGGGGAACGTGGAGGCCCGCGCGCCTGCCCCGCGCAGCAAGCGACGCGTCTCTGGAGGCGCGTTTCCTGCTGCGATCGGCCGCCGCGCCGCCGCCGGTCGCGTCCGCGGCTTCCCCCTCATTGACCCCTGGGCCGCTTCGCGAGTCGGTCTTGTAAATGTTTAGCATTTTGCTGCTCTGCTGCTTCTTTCTGGGGACGGTGCCAGCGCTTGCCGAGAAGGGCGGGGAGAGGCGCCTGAGTCCGGAGATGAGCCAAGTATGGGGACCCGGGCTGAAGGCGGCTGTCGTCCTTCCCGCTCGCTATTTCTATATTCAGGCGGTGGATGCTTCAGGAAATAAGTAAGTCCAGCATCGGCGCCCTAACTACTCCGGAATGCAGTGGAAATGGACTGGTGCTCCCTTTAAGTTTAGTCCGCCCGAGGCTTTGCCACAGCGGCTTAAATTCCAGGATACTTGGGTGCCAGCCACGTGCGGTCGTAACAGTCTTTTCCCGTCCCGGTCAGGCTTTCTCCAGAGCTTTAGAAATATTTCCGGATTCGCTCTTCTCCGAGCTAGGTTGGTAGGGGAGACAAAGCCTTTGCACTTCGCTGGAAGCTCTGTTTCCACCTACTTTTGCTTAAGCTGTTATAAGGAATGCACACACCCAGTTGTGCAAAACTCGGTTGGTTCATCTCTCTCTGGTGCTGCTCTCCGCTTTCAGGTAAGTGTCTGCGGGAGCGTTTTGAAACTCACCCAGAAAAAAGAAACGCTGTTTGAAACTGTACAGTTAAGAGGGAAAGTATCAAAGTGTGAACCTCCTGTGTGTTTGTAACAAACACTGCGTTCCATTGAATTCAGTCATTAACATGATCACGTAAAACTTACTTTGGAGAATTCACGTACGTCTGGGACGCTTGGGTGGCTCAGTCGGTTGAGCTTTCTGCTCAGGTCATGTTCTCAGGGTCCTGGGATCAAGGCTGGGAGTCGGGCTCGGCGCTCAACTTGGAGCCTGCTTCAGATTCTCTTCCCTCCCTCGGCCCCTCTCCCCTGCTCTGTCTCTCTCACCCTAAAATAAAAATAAAATAAAATAGAACTCACATACTTCTGAAATGGTTGTCTTTTTTTTTAATTCGTGGATGCTGACCAGGTATATTCTGTAGGGAAAACACATCTTGGGTATTCCAAGAAAAACTTCCAAGAAGTTTTGCAAAGCAGAAAAAAAAAAAAAAAGTTATCAACTTTGTCACTTGGATATAACAATTGGAGAAACAAAATACCACTTTAACAATCTCAATAGCGGGAGCACTCACTTAAAAAAAAAAAAAAACTTTTAGGGGTGCCTGGGTGGCTCAACCACTGGGCTATGGGACTTGGTTTCAGCTCAGGTCACGAACTCATGGGGTTCATAGATCCAGCCCACCAAAGGCTCTGTGCTGACAGTGTGGAGCCTGCTTGGGATTCTTTCTCCACCCCCCTCCATCCCCCGCCCTCTGTCCTTCCCCTGCTCATGCTCTTAGATAATACACTACCTTCTGTCTTCTGCCCGTGGCTAAACATGAATTATAATCCTGATCTTTTAAAGAATCATTGAGAGGGGGCGCCTGGGTGACTCAGTGGGTTAAGCATCTGACTTTGGCTCAGGTCAGGATCTCAGAGTTCATGAGCTGGAGACCTGCTTAGGGTGAGCCCTGCTTCTTTCTCTCTCTCTGTCTCTCTCCCTCCCCTCCTTCTGTATCTGCCCTTTGTGAGATTCCCTCTCTCTCTCTCTCTCTCTCTCTGCCCCTCACCCACTAGCACCCTCTATCTCTCGGAAAGAAAGAACAGAAGGCGGGGTGAAGTGGGAAGGAAGGATGGATCACTTAAAAGGATTTTTCAAAATCCTTTTGACCACAAATTTCCAGATGCATGAGAGAAATAGTAGAAATTGGCAAGAGATAGTTTTGTTTGTTTGTTTGTTTGTTTGTTTGTTTGTTTTAGGGAGAGAGAAAATATTAAGCGGGTTCCATGCCCAGCACAGAACCCAACGCAGGGCTTGATCCCACAACCCTGGGATCATGACCTGAGCTGGAATCAAGAGTCAAACACTAAACCTACTGCCACCCAGGCGCGTCAAGAATATTTTTATATATGGAATGCATTAGTGAGTTCTATGCTTACATAAATATGTAGCCTTTACATTCTCCCTTGAAATTTTCCGATGAAATGTTTATGTTATTGTGGCCTTTGGCCATTCTCTTTTCTTAAATCTCTGATCCATCACATTCATTCTGGCACTACATGCATATGAGAGAAGTGGCAAACATATATGTCAGGGGGAGAGTCTGAGGAAAACAGTAAGGCTCGCGGACTGGAGAGCATAATCTTTGCACGTTTGTGCCTTCAAACAGTCTTTACATCTTGCTATTCTTCCCATGACAGGTTCACATCGTCTCCAGGTGAAAAGGTGTTCCAGATTAAAATCTCAGCCCCAGAAGAGCAATTCACTAGAGTTGGAGTCCAGGTTTTAGACCGAAAGGATGGGTCCTTCATAGTAAGATACAGAATGTATGCAAGCTACAAAAATCTGAAGGTAGAAGTGAAATTCCAAGGTCAACACGTTGCCAAATCCCCATATATTTTAAAAGGTAATTTGGGACATAATTTTACAACAACAGTATGAATGACGCCATATAATGGATATTTGTTAACGTGTTTTGAACGCTGAGTGAAATTGTTACTGTGATATTTTGTTACTTGTGTGTACTCAGGGCCAGTTTACCATGAAAACTGTGATTGTCCTTTGGAAGATAGTGCAGCCTGGTTACAGGAGATGAACTGCCCAGAAACCATTACTCAGATTCAGAGAGATTTGGCGCATTTCCCTACTGTCGATCCAGAAAAGATTGCAGCAGAAATCCCAAAAAGATTTGGACAAAGACAAAGCTTGTGTCATTATACCTTGAAGGATAACAAGGTACAATTTGTGATGAAGGTTTGCTTGTTTGTCTTAGTGATTTTGTTTTGTTTTTTCTTGTTTTGACCTTTTGGCTTTAAGTAGCTACAGAGTTTTATTAAGTATCATTCAGTGGGGTGCCCTGCTGACTCGTTGGTGGAGGGTTTGACTCTTGATCTCTGGGTTATGGATTTGAACCCCATGTTGGGTGTACAGATTACGTAAATAAAGGGGCACCTGGGTGGCTCAGTTGGTTAAGCATCCAACTCTTGGTTTCAGCTCATGGCATGATCTCACAGTTTGTGAGTTCAAGGCCCACATCTGGCTTCGTGTTGCTGGTTCAGAACCTGCTTAAAATTCTCCCTCTCCCTCTTTCTCTGTCCCTCCCCTCCTCACTCGCTCGCTCTCTCTCTCTTTCTCTCTCTCTCTCAAAATAAATGAATAAACTTTAAAAAATAAAACAAAATATTTTTAATACACAATTCTGGGGCTCCTGGGTGGCTCAGTCAGTTAAGCTTCCAATTTCAGCTCAGGTCATGATCTCCTGGTTCATAAGTTTGAGCCCCTCATTGACCTCTGTGCTGACAGTTAGGAGCCTGGAGCCTGCTTCAGATTCTGCGTGTCTCTCTCTGCTTCCCCCCTGCTCATTCTCTGTCTCTCTCTCAAAAATAAATAAACATTAAAAAAATTTTTAAATCATTCTAAGGATCATTGTGACACAATTTACCTCATTGAAGTCTGCCAGCACTTTTAGATTAACATAATAAATGTTCATTTCTCTTTCAGGTTTACATCAAGACTCATGGTGAACATGTGGGTTTCAGAATTTTCATGGATGCCATACTACTTTCTTTGACTAGAAAAGTAAGTAATTTTTTTCCTCTCAGGTATAATAGACACTTTCAGCCCAGGTTTTATAGTATAATTTTTTTAATGTTTTATTTTTTTGAGAGAGAGAGCAGGGGAGGGTCGGAGTGAGAGGGAGACAGAGAATCAGAAAATAGGCTCCAGGCTCTGATCTCTCAGCACAGAGCCCATCTCGGGGCTCGAACCCATGAACTTTGAGATCGTGACCTGAGCCGACGTTGGACGCTTAACCAACTAAGCCACCCAGGTGCCCCTACAATTTAATTTTTAAAAATAACAACATCAGTGTTGCTGTATCCTGGAGCCTTATTAAAATACGATTCTGAATCTTTATGGCCTGGAGAACACCTGTATTCATTTCCTACTGTTGCTGTCACAAAGTACTGCAAACTTGGTGCCATAAAACAGCAGAAATGTTTGTTCTCTCTCAGTTCTGGAGGCCACAAGTCCGAGAGCAAGGGGTCAGCAGAGCCATGCCCCCACCCCTACCCTCCTGAGACCTGCAGGGGAGGACCCTCCTTCCTCCCCCTGCTTCTCGGGGTGTGCTGGCCATCGTTGGCCTGCAGCCACATCCCTCCAGCCTCTGCCCCATCGTCCCACGGCCTTCCCCATGTGTCTGTCTCTTCTGAGGACGCCAGTCATCTTGAATCAGGGCCCACCCTACTCCAGCAGGACCTCAGCTTACCTAATATCTGCAACAACACCATTTCCAAATAAGGTCATTCTGAGATACCGGGGTTTGGGACTTTAGCTTCTCTTTTGTGGGGGACAGAATTCAGCCCATAACAAGACTTGGTAAGGGAAAAACGTCTTAAAATAAAGTTGTGTTAGTAGTCAGCCTACTTTGAGCCCAAAGAAGACATCGTCTTTTGAGTCCTGTTCCTTGGTATAATGAGCTGTGAGCAGGGTTCCATTGGAGAACGTGACTGTGATAGTAAAATGGCCCATGTGAAAAGCTCTACCCACATTTGTTACCACTTGCTTAGTTACAGTTTATTAGATAATCTGTACCAATATCTTGATTGAATTGCTCGTGGACAATCATAGTATCTTCTCAGACTTGCATAGCACTTACAGTGAGTTTATTCTGAACATAGGCGGCTACATAGCATCTGTATTCTGCCTCCTTTAAGCTAAGACATCAGGGTGCTGGCAAGCTTTCCTTGCACATGTGTCAGTCCGTGGAAAAGGAAGACTGCCCTTCAGATATCTGCAGATGAAATATCCGATAAAGAGTTAGTATTCAAAATCTATAAAGAACTTACCAAACTCAACACCGCCCCCCCAAAATCCCCTAATTATCCAGTGAAGAAATGGGCAGAAGACATGAACAGATACTTTTCCAAAAAAGATAGCCAGATGGCAGACAGACAGATGAAAAGATGCTTAACATCACTCATCATCAGGGAATCAAAACCACAATGAGGTACCACCTCACATTTGTCAGAATGGCTAAAATTAACAACTCAGGCAGCAACAAATGCTGGCAAGATGTGGAGAAAGGGGAGCCCTCGTGCACTGCTGTGAATGCAGACTCGTGAATGCAAACTGGTGCAGCCTCTCTGGAGGACAGTGTGGAGGTTTCTCAAAAATTTAAAAATAGATTTACCCTTTGTCCCACCAATTGCACTACTAGGTATTTATCCAAAGGATACAAAAATAGTGATTCGAAGGGACACATGCACCCCAGTGTGTAGAGCAGCACTATCAACAATAGCCAGAGTATGGAAAGAGCCCAAATGTCCATCAACTGATGATGAATGGATTAAGAAAATGTAGTGTGTATATATATATAATGGAATATATTTATGTAGTGTGTATGTGTGTGTATGTATTATATATTATATATATATTATACATAATATATATATAATGGAATAGTACTCAACAATGAAAAAGAATGAAATCTTGCCATTTGCAACAATGTGGATGGAACTGGAGGGTATTATGCTAAGTGAAATAAGTCCTTTAGAGAAAGAAAGATATATGATTTCACTCATGTGGAATTTGAGAAACTTAACAGATGATCATACAGAAAGGAAGGAAAAATAGATACAAACAGAAAGGGAGGCAAACCATAAGAGACTCTTAAATACAGAGAACAAAGTGAGGGTTGATAGGGGTGGAGTAATCGGGGGATGGGCATATAAGAGGGCACTTGCTGGGAAGAGCACTGGGTGTCGTATGTAAGTGACGAATCACTGGGTTCTACTCCTGAAGCCAAGGCTACACTGTATGTTAACTAACTTGAGAATAAAAGTTTTTAAATAAATTTTAAATAACATGAAAATATTACAGAACAATGTTGGGACAGAATGTACAAAAACATAAAACAAAAACCAAACAAACAAAACAAAACAAAAAAAGACTGCCCTTCAGGACTCTAGTTTGTCAAGATGCTTCTCAGACTGACCAAGACAGTTCTTGGCTAAAACTGTAGGTCTTGGGGTGCCTGGGTGGCTCAGTCGACTGGTTACGTATCTGACTCTTGCCTTCGGCTCCGGTCATGATCGCAGGGTCATGACATCCAGCCCCGTGTAAGACTCTGAGCTGAGCGTGGAGCGTGCTTGGGTTCTCTCTCCCTCCGCCACTCTCCCAATCAGGCTCGCTCACTCTCTCAAAAAAAATCTACATCTATATCTATGTATAGATATAGATATTTCCTCTTTTATACAACCCCAAACATTAACCTGTGGCTTGATTTAAAAAAACAAAACAAAACAGGATCTTTGAACACATCTGTGCCACTTGCTGGCAGAAGCAGCCTAGCTCAGAAATCACTGGCGCCAGCTTTCGTGTCCGCCTTCTGGAGTTTAGATTCTGGACCCACCACCAAGGGGTGTAGGCTTTAAATGGGAACATCTGGCTCATTAACCAGGAATGAGGGATAGAGTCCCAAGTACTTTGTGTTGTAATTGTTTCCCAGTAATTCTTTCTCTCTTTGATCATCACACTCTTGGCAGCATTAAGACCGAGATTACCTTTGTCATTTCATGCACTTTTTTTTTGAGAGAGAGAGAAAGAGAGTGCATGCAAGCAGGGGAGGGGCAAGAGAGAATATCGTTTGTTTATTTTTTAATTTTAGAGTAAGAGAAAGAGCACGAGCAAGGGAGAGTGTCAGAGGGAGAAAGAGAGAATCTTAAATAGGATCCACACCCAGCGCAGAGCCCAATGCATGGCTGGGGCTCAATCTCACCACCGTGAGATCATGACCTGAGCCCAAATCAAGAGTCGGACGCTTAACAGACTGAGCCACGCGTGTTCCCCTCATCCCTTTTTGAAGCAAATCTGTTGGCCAATGTGGGCATCATAGAAAGGAAATCTAGTATACTGAGGTGTACAACAATATTCTGAAAAATTACTCACTATTAAAAATGGCGTAATTATCATTACCTGAAGCTTGTAAAGTTGGCCTTTCATTTGGTACGATTTCTCATTTGTGTTGTGTTTCACTGCTCCCGGAGTGGTCTGGCCGGGCTGCAGGATCGAGTATTACAGGAATGCAGCCCAAGTGCAAAGGCAGGGAAATGCCACCCGAGAAGAATCCAGTGCAGGAGTCGAGGCTGCTGAGAGCAGAGAGCATGCACACCAGCCTCGAGGGGGTAGCGCTTCCTTACAGCAGAGGAGAGGGACCGAGATCCCGTCCCTGGCTGCCAGGCGGTCCCTGCCCTACAGCTGTGTGCCCCGCACTTCCTGTCACAGTGGAAGCTCCCTGACCCCTCCCTGTGGGGTCTCAAGTACAGCAAGCTGGGAGCAGCCTGAGGGCTGTGGACGCCTGCACTTGAGCAGAACACGAGTACATTCCCTCACGAGGAGGTGAGCGCAGCCCAGACTGTGAGTGCTCCATCTCTTGGTAAAGAAGCATTCAAGATTTTCATGTGGCCAAGCAGGGGCTGGGAAGACTGCCTGCACGAGGCTGCCTTTCCCAAAACATCTGTCCTAGAAGGTATGACACACTGCAACCCATGTAGATGAGCTCTTTGCTTTCTTTGTCCAGGTGAAGATGCCCGATGTGGAGTTTTTTGTTAATTTGGGAGACTGGCCTTTGGAAAAAAAGAAATCCAGCTCGCACATCCATCCAATCTTTTCCTGGTGTGGCTCCACGGATTCCAAGGATATCGTGATGCCTACCTACGACTTGACTGACTCTGTTCTAGAAACCATGGGCCGGTGAGAGAGACAGGTCCACAATGACCCAGAGCCTTGGTTTTCTTTCCTTGGTGAGTTCTTTCCCAACAGCTTTTGCGCTGTGATGGTGTGGGAGGAAAATGTGTTGGCTTTCTGTCTTCCAGAGTCAGTCTGGATATGATGTCTGTACAAGGTAACACGGGTCCCCCCTGGGAAAGCAAGAACTCCACCGCTGTCTGGAGAGGGCGAGACAGCCGCAAGGAGAGACTGGAACTGGTTAAGCTCAGCAGGAAACACCCAGAACTTATAGACGCTGCCTTCACCAACTTCTTCTTCTTTAAACATGATGAAAGCCTGTATGGTCCTATCGTGAAACACATTTCATTTTTTGATTTCTTCAAGGTAGGACACCAATTGTTCTAATCCTTTTTGTTTTTCGAAATGTCTCCATTTGGAGGAGGGAACCTGAGACCTATAAACTGTAGAGAGTGAGAGAAATGAGCACAGAATTTAGTGAACATTGAGGCATGGGGCGCCCGGGACTGCTTTGGCAGCGTGGGGTGTACAAAGTTCCCAGACCTGACATTAAACATGCATCAAGGGAGGGACGCCTGGGCGGCTTACTTGGTTAAGTGTCCAACTCTTGGTTTTGGCTCAGGTTGTGATCTCATGGTTCATGAGTTCAAGCCCCAAATGGAGCTCTGTGCTGACAGTACAGAGCCTGCTTGGAATTCTCTCTCCCTTTCTCTCTCTGCCCCTCCCCTGGTCATCCTCTCTCTCTCTCTCTCTCTCTCTCTCTCTCTCTTCCACTGTCTCTCAAAATAAATACATAAATTTTAAAAATATAGGGTGATGGGCATGGAGGAGGGCACTTGATGGGAAGAGCACTGGGTGTTATATGGAAACCAACTTGACAATAAACTATAAAAGAAAAAATAATAATAAATACATAAATAATATATGCTTCAAGGAAGCTTGGGGTCCAGGTAGGGCTAGAACTGTTTTCCCCAACTGACCCTCAAGGTAAGCACATTTCAGCTTCTATCCTTTCTTCTTAATAAATATGTACGTGATTTTACAGATTCCCCCCAGAGCATCGTAACAGTTGAAAGAAGAGATAAATCGGGGCGCCTGGGTGGCTTAGTCGGGTGAGCGTCCGACTTTCGCTTAGGTCATGATCTCGCGGTTCGTGGGTTCGAGCCCCGCGTCGGGCTCTGTGCTGACTGCCGGCTCAGAGCCTGGAGCCTATTTGAGAGTCTGTATCTCCCTCTCTCTCTCTCTGACCCTCCCCTGCTCACGCTGTCTCTCTCTCTCTCTCTCTCTCTCCTAGAAATAAATAAAACATTTAAAAAAAAAAAAACATCTTTTAAAAAAAAAAAAAAAAAAGAAAGAAGAGATAAAGCAAGTGTCTCGTATCAGACTTTCTGATGGGGGAGTGTCTTGAAACCCATCCAAGTGATCTGCCTGGGATTCTGGAGATTAGGGGGACCTTTTAGTGTCTAATGTGTGGATTTTTCCCACTTCCTGTGGAGGGATCCTTTTTCCAACTCCTTCTAGGCAGTGGGACACTGCCCTAATCTCTAAACCACTAAGTAGTGTTTGTTTGTTTTTTAAGTTTATTTATTTTGAGAGAGAGAGAGAGAGAGAGCAAGCCAGGTAGGGGCACAGAGGGAGAGAGAGGGAATCCCAAGCAGGCTCCACACTGTCAGCACAGAGCCTGACACAGGGCTCGAAACCACAAACCACGAGATCATGACCTGAGCCAAGATCAAGAGTCAGACGCTCAACCGACTGAGCCACCCAGGCGCCCCTAATCCACTAAGTGGTTTTTAAAGACCCATGTCCTGGAATGAAAGGTTGTCAAAAGGTACTCACCTGTCCTCTGAACCTGGGAAAGTGAGTGATTCACGAGCTCTGTCTGCACCTGTGGCCAGGTTTCTTTCGATGGGTTCCATGGCTGCAGGAAGTCCTAAATAATGCCACAAGTTAGATTGTCAGCACTCCTACGAATGCAATTCACAAAGACTTTTGAAAGAAAGAGACATTACCAGCCATCCCTCTTTAGTGGGTGTTGCGTGATGCCTTTGCTTTATTCCTGCCTATTGTATCTGCTACTGCTAAAGACTAATTGGTTACCATGGCTCTAGGAATATTTTTTATTCATAGACGTTCTTGCATCTATGCTTGTTGATTTTAAGACACGTGTGTATTCATCTGATGTTTAAAAGATATGGTTGGGGCACCACTGTTGTGGCTCAGTCAGTTAAGTGTCTGATTTCCGTTCAGGTCATGATCTCACGGTCATGGGATCAAGCCCTGCATAAGACTCCACACTGAGCATGGAGCCCACTTGGGATTCTGTGTCCCCCTCTCCCTCTCTCCCTCTCTCTGCTCCTCCCCCACCCTCTCTCTCTTAAAAAAATGAAAAGGTATGGTTCATATGGCATAGGCTACCATCCTTAGGTGCTCACGTGTGATCAGTTAAGTATCAGAGGGATTACAAAGTCACGATAAGCCTATCTTTCCTAGGTTGTAGCCTTTGGACAGCAGTCTTTATATTTTATTTTCTGCTTTAATGTTAGACTTGTGGCCCCTCTGTGAAATGTGGGAGAGCATCACAATAAGCCTTGAGGTCTAGGCCAGGTGTTAATATGATAGCGCTCACTCCATGGCGAAGGCAGGGGGCAAAATCTGGCCAGCTTGTATCCGTCAATGATGAGGCTTTAAGTGTGGAAAGAGGAAGAGAATAAAGAGAGTGGAGAATGGAAATGTCATGGAGGTTTTTCTCCTGCTGTTTTGCAGCATAAGTACCAAATAAACGTCGACGGCACTGTCGCAGCGTATCGCCTGCCGTACCTCCTCTTTGGTGACAGCGTTGTGCTAAAGCAGGACTCCATCTACTACGAGCACTTTTACAATGAGCTGCAACCTTGGAAGCACTACATCCCAGTGAAAAGCAACCTGAGTGACCTCCTGGAAAAACTTAAGTGGGCAAAAGATCATGACGAAGAGGTAAGGTCAGTCTCCTCTACCCCACTATCACGGGCTCATTGTACATGGCTTGTGCCCAAAAAGCATTTGGGATGCTCGGCTATACACCCGTACCTGCCAGGGGGAAGCCACCTCCCCGTGGAAGCATGTCAGTACCCCTCAGGGCGAACATGGGCCTTGGGTCTTGGATGAACTGGGCGCTCTGCACTTGAAACAAAAAGCTAGACACTGGCGTTGAGCATGCTCTCTCTTTTTGGGGTGGCAGGTTGATCAGAGCCTCAGGCATTGCCTCACTTCTACTAACAGTATGAAAATTAAGATGTTCACACTGGCGGGAAGAAAAAAGTACCTGGTGTGGATTAAAATGCAGGGTTGCATGAAGTCAACCTCAGGCAAATCGCTCAAAATTGTTAAGGTGGTGCCTTGCATTTGTCTTTCACTTACTTTACAAAGTCACTGCTACGTCATTTAATGTGTGCCTTCTCTCTGCAAGAGAGGCTGCATTCTAGAAGGTCCAATGTGATTCCTCAAACTTTCACGTCTAAAAAAACCTCCCTTTAATTTGAGCGTACTCTTGTTAGATGCTCCCTTTACCATGCCAACACCACCCTCAAAGATATTTTTCTTGCCGTTGTCCCAAGATACAAGTACCCTGAAGATCAGTTAGCATATTGTCTACAAGGGAAAAAAACAAAACATGTTTCATTAAGGGACTTTGTTATCATTGTTCCCACAGGCAAAGAAGATAGCAAAAGCAGGACAGGAATTTGCAAGAAATAATCTCATGGGTGATGACATATTCTGTTATTATTTTAAACTTTTCCAGGTCAGTATTTTCTAAGAAAACAGACATACTATTTGCAGTTGGGTGTGTTAGGAGCAAATAACATTTCATCTAATCGTTTCTAAAAGTATATTAATATAAAGAGATACGTATACTTCTCTGTGGGCAAAAACCAGGGACCTACTTCAAATGGTAATGAAAATAGTACAAAAGCCAGCGTAAGCTAGAGAGGAATGCTGCAGCATCAGAGGGAAAGTATTTAGGTTAGTGCTCTGGTGTGTGGTTAAGAAATTGGCCTCTGATCCTGCCAAGTTACCGTACATGGATCTGTATTTTCTCTTTGTACAATCTTTTCTTAAAAAAATTTTTTAATGTTTATTTATTTTTGAGAGAAGAGATAGTGTGAGTGGGGCAGGGGCAGAGAGAGGGAGACACAGAATCTGATGCAGCTCCAGGCTCTGTGCTGTCAGTACAGAGCCCGATGCGGGGCTTGAAGTCACGAATCGTGAGATCATGACGTGAGCCGCAGTTGGATGCTTAACAGCTTAACCAGCTGAGCCATCCAGGCGCCCCTCTGCTGACTTACCATCTCTTTGTCTAAACAGTGCACGGTATCTTCAGACCTCTACTGCTGACCCATATGAGCCATGACTTCTCTTCAAAAGTTTTCATGGACCTAAGCATTTAGGGACTATAATCAAAGTATGCTTGACAGTTGAAAAGACTATTTTTAAAAACTGCAGTAGGAACAAGTAATTTCCTAATAGTGATACTACTAGATCTAAATAAAGACTTTTTTTTTAAATCTCAAAATTGCAGGTATTGAGGCCCAGATCTTAGACTCTGCTACTTAACAGTTGGTCTATTTCCGGTTGCACTGCCCCTCCCCCTTTCTTACCTTCCCAGGGGCTGGTAAAGGGATGGAGAGGGTGAAGTGTGTACCCTGAGGGTGCAGGAGTACTGTCTGAACTCCTAAGGGTCCACAGGGTCGTGTCACTCATTCGGATTACATTTCCTAGAGCATCACCACTGTGGCCCAGAGCCTAACATGGAGCAGGCAGATGATAGATGAGTTGGCGGCTGAGACTAAGAAAGCCATGGCGGAAATACGCTCTAGCCTCAAATCCCCAGCCTAGGGGTGACTGTGTGCACAATTATTTTCACTTCAAGGCAGAAGGTGGTAAAAACAACATGCTGCAAGTCATGTAAATGAAGGGTGGGGCACCTAGATGGCTCAGTAGTTAAGCCATTCGACTTTGGCTCATGTCATGATCTCACAGTTTATGGGTTTGTGAGTTCAAGCCCTACGTGGGACTCTCTGCTGTCAGCGTAGAGCTGGCTTCGGATCCTCTGCCCCCAAATACATAAATAAATACATTAAAACTAAATAAATGAAGGATGGAATAAGAAGAGGTGCATCAGCAATAGGCAGCCAGTGGCCAAAGGACAGCCACCTCTCTGAAACTCTGTTATTGGGGGCTAAAGGGGGGGTACAAAAAATTTTGCTTCTTGCAACTTGACACGTATGAGTGAAAAGGACCATCTCCTAGCAAGTGCCAGTGTGTCTGATTTGGCGAATGTGCTCTTAGTTACAAAACGAACACTTTTGAACTGTTGCTCCCACAGGAATATGCCAGTTTGCAAGTGAGTGAGCCCCAAATCCGAGAGGGCATGAAACGGGTGGAAGCAGAGACTGAAGACGACCTCTTTCCTTGCACATGCCATAGGACACAGGTAACCAGATGTGGCGTGCTCAGAGCAAGAGCGAGGCCCGTTCCACGTCCTCATCCATTCCTGTCGTCGTTCAGTCGGGCACCCGGTATCTGAGCTTCTCCGGGGGCCTCTGTGCACTTGAGTCTAGTGGAGGGGCCAGTGCCATGGGAACAACATGGCCAGAGAAAGGGCACTTAGATGCAGATGAGGAGAAGGCCAGGGGCCCCTGGCGAAGCAGAGGAGAGCCTTCTTATTAATGTGAGAATTCACATCCCATGACCTTTGATGTTTATAATTTGGAAAGTATTTTCACATGCATCATGGGAGATGGGTTTGGCAAAGTTCATTATCTCCGTTTAGAAATGAAAAAAAAATTTTTTTAATGTTTTATTTATTTCTAAAAGAGAGAGAGAGAGAGAGAGAGAGACAGTGTGAGCAGGGGAGGGTCAGAGAGAGAGGGAGACACAGAATCTAAAGCAGGCTCCAGGCTCTGAGCTGTCAGCACAGAGCCCAATGCAGGCCTCGAACCCACGAACCATGAGATCATGAAGTCGAATGCTTAACCGACGGAGCCAGCCAGACGCCCCTAGGCATGAAAAAATTTATAGCCATGACTTACCAGATTATTCATTTAAGAGCAGTCTCTGTTGATACCACCAGTGTATACTGATTTCATTTATAAAAGGCAGATTCCATAGACTTGTCAGGCTAAAAGGAGCTTTCAGGAAGCCGCCTGGCTGGCTCAGTCAGTGTAGTGTGCGACTCTTCTTGGGGTTGTGAGTTTGAGGCCCATGTTGGGCATAGAGCCTACTAAATTTGTGTTTTTACATTAAAAAAAAATGGACCTTTGGGGTCACCCAGGAAATGCCTTCATTATATGGTTAGGAAAACAGAGCCTCAGGAAGAATTCAGCTCATAACCACCCAGCTGGATTATAGCAAAGCTAGGTCCAAAAACTAGTCTCCATCACCAGATTGTGTGACTGGCTGTGGGTAAAGACACGATGTGGCAGCGAGGGTTGTTTTGATTGTAATTGCTTTTTGTTTGAATGAATATATACTGTATAGGGGCACCTGGGTGGCTCAGTCGGTTAAGCGTCCAACTTCAGCTCAGGTCATGATCTCACGGTTCATGAGTTCGAGCCCCGTGTCAGGCTGTGTGCTGGCAGCTCAGAGCCTGGAGCCTGCTTCAGATTCTGTGTCTCCTTCTCTCTCTGCCCCTCCCACAATCATGCTCTATTCTCTCTGTCCCTCGATGATAAATAAACATTAAAAAAATTAAAAACAAGAATATATACTATATAAAAATTGTAGTATATGTCACACATATATACCTATGTAGACATATATATTAAATATATATACATATATAATACATTGGCTTGACATTATCTTAAGCAACGTCATCATATCTCTGAAAGGACAAACTCAAAACTGGTGTTGTGATCAAAGATGAGAAGGCAGATTTGGCAGTCATCATGCCTAACTCACAAGCGGGTTTGAAAGGAATAAAGCGACCACTATCGGCAGTGGTATGATAGAAACAGCTTATATATAAGTCTGTTACATATTAGGAATTTTGCATAACTGGTTACTTTCTGGTAATTTGGAATCTGCCTGGTGGAAGAGTCACCATGACAACAGCAGGTGCTACAGATCAGTTTTGGTTATTTTGTTTTTTGGGGTTTTTTGTTTTTGTTTTTGTTTACTTTTTGGTTTTTTCTTTTTTGGAGTAGGGACTTGCCACTAACCCCCACCCTCACCCAGTAATGGTACTTCATCAGTGTAAACCCTTATCAGTGCTGGAAGTTCATAAAATTAGTTAAAGCCATTGACCAAAAAAAAAAAAAATTGCCAGAACTGGGGGCACCTGCCTGACTCAGTCGGTAGAGCATGTGACTTGATCTCAGGGTCATGAGTTTGAGCCCCATGTTGGGTTGTAGAGATGACTTAAAAATAAAATCTTTAAAGGGGCACTTAGTTAGCTCAGTCAGTAGAGCAAGCAATTCTTGACCTTAAGTTTGACCCCACAATGGGTGTAGAGATTACTTTTTTTTAAAAATATTTTTATTTATTTCTAAGAGAGAGAGAGACAGCGTGAGCAGGGTAGGGTCAGAGAGAGAGGGGGATACAGAATCTGAAGCAGGCTCCAGGCTCTGAGCTGGCAGTCAGCACAGGTCCCGACGCGGGACTCGAACCCACGAACCGCGAGATCATGACCTAAGCGAAAGTCGGACGCTCAACCGACTAAGCCATTCAGGCGCCCCTAGAGATTACTTTTTTTAAAAAAATCCTTAAAAAATAAAACATCTTAAAATTTTTCCAGAATTGAAATGTACCCCCTCATGAAATTTGTGATTCGGTGTTGCAACACTTTTGTTGGCTCCAAATGAAACTGGGCACATTCTTTTCTTCGGTCCTCTTTTTTATTTTTTATCTTTGTCTAAGTGATGTTGAGGAGTGCCAAATCAGTACCTTCCACTGACTTGTGGATTTAGGGGCTTTGTGAATTTCCTCCTCGTCTGCTCAAGCCCTTCCCTGATACAATGCATAACACAGAGCCCTTTACAGCAATGCAAACACTTACATGTTTGTGGTCCCCATCTGCAGTCCGATAAAACACAATGTGACTTTCCCCAGGGGTGGTTCCAAGGATAGTCCGAGGTCCTACAAACCTCCAGGACCCGCTTGTCTTTTTCTCTGCTTCCAATTTTAGGGGAAGGTAATTAATAGACTAACATAAGTTATCTTGACTCATATAAGACTTTGTGATGGCACTAAATATGTTGCTTCTTAATTGCAGACCAAAGATGAACTCTGATATGCAAAATACCTTCCTTCAAATAATGGTGCTCTGAAGACTCTTTTTAACTGAAATAGAAGAGTGTTTTTTTAAATATTCTGTGGACTACATAAAATATGCTATGTGATTGTCTGGATTATGAACATATGTTTCTTCTTATTATGCAGTATTCCCTTGGCCATCCTCTAAAGCACAGTTTTAGAATTTTATAATAAAACCACTTGTATTTTAAAGACCTGTGCTGTGCTAATTATTAGCTGTGTTTGGACCATGGGGCGGTACACAGAGGGAGTCTGGGCCCTGGCCTCGGTGTCGAGCATCATGGCAGCCACCAACTACATGCACATGTGGTTTATATGACAAAGCAGTGACCTGCTATCTTCATGGCTTATTTTGGACATTTAGCCTCTCGTGGCCAAATATAAATCCAACAAATACACCTTATAAGGCCTGCATCTGTAATCCAGTTTCTCACCAATATGCATCTTCTAGTCCTGCAAAACCAGCCCTTCACTGCTGTGTCAGTTACTGTTTCTTACCTTCCTTGGTTATGCCTTCTCTTGGACTGGAGTGCCATGACTCTCTTCTGGCTCAGTTCCCCTCTGGTGCACATCTCAGTAATCACTCCTCCAAATCTCCCCGTCTGCATACTTGAATCACTGCAGTTACCCGACTGTGTTAGTGATCTCGTCATTACCAGATTTTAAGCAACTTGACTACAGACAGCATGATCTTCTATGTCCTCCACTAGGGTGCCCACAACTAGAAAAGCTCAATGAATATCTAATTGGTGAACACTGAAAACTCACTTTGAAATGAGATTAAGAGAATTAAAAAGGGGCTAGAAAACCTCACACTGAACCATAATACAATGTCCTACAAAATCCTTTACCTAAAGGTTTCCCTCCTGTCTATCTTCCTGTTAAATAATCTATTGTAATTTTTTTTACATTGTGGAATGTATCCTATATACAGAAGACTATAAAACATGTATCTGCATCTTGAAAATAGTTATAAGGAAACACCCATGTATTGACAAAGATTCTTTGCTTGACCAAGCTTTAGTACAGTTTCTGAACCTTTAGGGGCCATCTGGGTACTTCCTTATAAAATCTGGTTTTGGCAGAAACTGCTAGATCTGTTTAGGAAGAATCCTCATCCTCTATCTGATCACTCATGTTATTTATTTGGGTTCCTGGTCCTCTCCCATCCCCTAGGTGATTGATCGGCTTGGCCTGTCCTTAGCAAGGACCCTGTTGGGTCAGATTTGCCAGAATCTCTCCCTGACCCTGATGTTTCCTTGTAGTAATTTTCTATCCACTGACTCCTTGGCTGTAAATTTCCCCTTCAATGCACTGTATTTGGAATTGAGGTGTTTCTATACTGAGATCTCTTCCCCTATTACAATAGTCTTGAGTAACATCTTTTTTATTTTATTTTTTTTTACCACTTTACTGTCTACTTCTGATTTTGCTTTAATATTTCTGAACTCAAGTTCAGAAATGGAACACTGCTGTTCCTTAGAGGTTCCCTCTGTCTCTCACCCTATTATCTCCCACTCACCTGCTCCCCTGTGGCCACTATTGTGATGTTTGTGATCATCTTTTCCTTGTACAAAAAAACCTTGGATCGGGAGCCGAATTTGTTCCAGAATCCAAATAAGTGGATTCTGTAATCCAAAGCACTTGTACGTCTAAGTGAATTTCAAGAACCATTGGCTCAGTTATGATCATGTGATGTTTGGGCTTCACAGATCACTCATATTGCAAGACATTCCTTGTGAATCAAGTTAAAATTTATTAGAAGTGTTTGCTCGTCTTGCAGAACACTCACAGAACAAGTTATTCGCAATCCAAGGTTTTACTGTACTTATTTACAGTTTTACCACCTACATATACCTCCCTAAGCAATGTAGTTGAATGTTGCATTTTTTAAAATTTGATCTAAATGGAATCATACTGAACATAATGTTGTCGTTACTTGCCTGTTGAAGCACGTTCATTTATGTATGTAGGCAGTGTTTCATTCTATGAATAGGATCCCTCTTTGATCCATTCTATTGTACATGGACATTTGGGTTGTTTCCATTTTTTGACAATTCTAACCAAAGCAATGGGACGCCTGGGTGGCTCAGTCGGTTGAGCGTCCGACTTCGGCCCAGGTCATGATCTCACGGTTTGTGGGTTCAAGCCCCACATCTGGCTCTGTGCTGACAGCTAGCTCGGAGCCTGGATCCTGCTTCCGTTTCTGTGTCTCCCTCTCTCTCTGTCCCTCTCCTGCTCATGCTGTCTCTCTCTATCTCTCTCTCAGAAATAAATAAAACATTTAAAAAATGTTAAATTCTAATCAAAGCTACTATGGGCATTCTTATTCATGTCTCCTGGCTACATTTGCTTTGGAATAAAATTCCTGGGTTATAGAGTATGTACGTCTGCAATTTTACTAGATAATGTCAAACAACTTTCCAACTTGATTGTCCCAATTTACATTCTGCAGCAGAGTACAGGATTTCCAGTTGCTGGACTTCCATGCTAACACTTGCTATTATCAGTCTTGGAAATTGTTTGCTAATCTGGGGTAAAATGGTAACTTGCTATGTTTTAATTTTCATGTCTCTAATTACTAATGAGACTGACCATCTTTTCATGTGGTCATAAGCCGTTTGTCATGTGTTTCCTACTTTTTTTATTTGCTTGTTTATTTACTTACTTTAGTTCATTTCCCTCCTAAGTTGTTTGACTTCCTGGTAGATTCACAGAAGTATATTTTAGAGCAAGTACTTTGCTGATGGACTTCACTGCATACCTCCTACTTTATGGCATGTTTTAGGTTCTTATTGCAGCTTTTTTTTAATGTTTATTTTTGAAAGAGATAGAAAGCACAAGCGGGGAAGGCACAGAAAGAGAGAGAGAAGGGAGGACACACAGATTTCGAAGGAGGCTCCAGGCTCTGAGCTATCCACTAGAGAGTGATGCAGGGCTTGAACTCACAAATGGAGAGATCATGACCTGAACTGAAGTCAGACGCTTAACTGACTGAACTACCCAGGCACCCCTGCAGCGTTTTTTAATGTTCAAAAGACGTTGACTTTTTTCTTTCATAGTTGGGTTTTTATCAGTTGTTCTGAGACCAGGAAGACATTTCAATTTGTACACAATTCTTAACATACGTACCAAAAATAAAAAAGTCGTATAGCTGTGATCCTTTTCTAAGTTATTCCAGTGACTTTCCAGCTTAAAATCTGGAGGCAGATTTTCCTTAACAGTATACCAAGTACCAATACTTCAAATGTTGATACACTGTTAGGTTATTATGTCACATTAATTCACAATTTAATATCATATACACTACAAACACAGATTTACAATCCTGCACAGCACATTAACAAAGTTACTAGGAAAACAGACCAAGATGTTACAGAATGTACAAAATTCTCACAGGGAGAGCCAAGATCAAGGAGTGATTTTCTTTAGGAAACAATGTTTTAAATGTTCAAGACATATTAAAGGCATGACTGACTCCTTACTGCCAGTCAATATCCTTGTATTGTAGAATAGAAAAACCACCCCATCTATGAACGGTTGAGCTGATGCCCAAGATAGTCAAAGCCTCCCGTATCTAATACCTCAATATTTTCTGATCGTTACAGAAATAAATAAATAAATGAACAAATGATTCCACCTTTAAAAAAAAAAAAAAAAAAAAAAACCTTGACACTTAAAAAATGGGATGAAGTCTCTCCTTCTTAAAAATGGTTCTAGGAGCACCTGAGTGGCTCAGTCAGTTAAGTGTCTGACTTCGGCTCAGGTCACGATCTCATGGTTTGTGGGTTCGAGCCTTGCATCAGCTCTGTGCTGAATGCTTGCTCAAAGCCTGGAGCCTGCTTTGGATTCTGTTTCTTCTTCTCTCTCTGCCCTTCCCCCGCTCACACTCCGTCTCACTCTGTCTCTCAAATATAAATAAAAAAAATTTTTTTAATGTTTCTAGAGCTGCTAATAAACTTGCATTTACAAAATAGTTGATAGGGGCGCCTGGGTGGCTCAGTCGGTTAAGCGTCCGGCTTCGGCTCAGGTCAGATCTCATGGTTTGTGGGTTTGAGCCCCGCATCAGGCTCTGTGCTGACAGTTCAGAGCCTGGAGCCTGTTCCAGATTCTGTGCCTCCCTCTCTCTCTGCCCCTCCCCCACTCATGCTCTGTCTCTCTCTCTCTCTCAAAAATAAATAAAATATTTAAAAAAATTTTTTAAATTACTCTGGATTGTGCAAGGAGGGAGCCGGGATGACTGATAAGACATGGGATATATGATATTAATCAGACTTGGCTTCTTTCTCTCCTGCTTCCTCAGGGGTGGGACTCTGCTCGTTTTTAGTTTCTCCATTTTCTGTAGGTAAGACTTCTTTTGTTTCTTCGTTAGCCACTTCAGCCTGGTTTCCCTTTGCTCCCCTTTCTCTTTGTTGCACTTTTTTGTCTGAAGATCTATCCCTTCCTTCTTGGCCTCATTTCCATTTTTGCAGAAGCAGATTGGCTAAAAACCTCCCCCATCTCCTTTTGGGCTCCTACTTTGCACCTCCTTGGGCTGAGCTGACCTTCCTCTTCCTGAGGGCTGGCTAGGCAGCACACAGAGAACCTTCTCCTTCTTGACGCCTAGCTGACTGGCCGCTGTAGCACCTCCTGGCCCAAAAAATGATGATATCAACATTGGTCTTTGCTTTAATGGCTAGTGCTTTTTGTAACTTGTGTTACCGGGCACCCTGGGGGCTCAGTTGGTTAAGTGTCCAACTTCAGCTCAGGTCACGATCTCGTGGTTTGTGGGTTTGGGCCCTGCGTCAGGCTCTGTGCTGACAGCTCAGAGCCTGGAGCCTGCCTCGGATACTCTCTTCCTCTCTCTCTGCCCCTCCCCTGATTGTGCTCTGTCTTGCTCTGTCTCTCAAAAGTAAATAAATGTTGGGGGGAAAAAAAAAAAAAAAGAAATGCTTCCAAATTGCCCCATCACTAAGTGGGTTTCCTACGTTATTTTCTGCGTGTTTCCTAGGGTTGCCGTGGCCCATTATTACAAACTTGGTGACTTAAAACAGCAAAAATTTTTCTCTCAGAGTTCTGGAGGCCAGAAATCTGAAATCAAGGTGTTGGCAGTTTTGATTCCTTCTAGAAGCTTTCTCTCTCCATGCCTCTCTTCTAGTTTCTGGTGGTGTCTAGCAATTCTTGATGCTTCCTGGCTTGTAGACACATCACTCCC